TGTCAGAGCTGTATCAAGTAAACACAGCACCAAACAACTTGTGTCAGAGCTGTATCAAGTAAACACAGCACCAATCATCTTATGTCAGAGCTGTATCAAGTAAACACAGCATCAATCAACTTATGTCAGAGCTGTATCAAGTAAACACAGCACCAATCAACTTAAGTCAGAGCTGTATCAAGTAAACACAGCACCAAACAACTTATGTCAGAGCTGTATCAAGTAAACACATCACCAATCATCTTATGTCAGAGCTGTATCGAGTAAACACAGCACCAAACATATTATGTCAGAGCTGTATCAAGTAAATACAGCATCAAACAACTTATGTCAGAGCTGTATCAAGTAAACACATCACCAATAATCTTATGTCAGAGCTGTATCGAGTAAACACAGCACCAAACATATTATGTCAAAGCTGTATCAAGTAAATACAGCATCAAACAACTTATGTCAGAGCTGAATCAAGTAAACACAGCACCAAACAACTTATGTCAGAGCTGTATCAAGTAAACGCAGCACCAAACAACTTATGTCAGTGCTGTATCATTTAAACTCAACCTCAGTAGTCGTTTGTAGAAGATTCATGAATTTAACAGCCCCTATCGACCCATCGCGGGGATATGTAGAGCAAACATCATTTATCGAGGTACGTAAGAGCGTTCAATGCACATTCTTTCCTCGGAATATTCCTCGGTGTTTTCTAAAGTAAAAATCATCTGTAGCAACCGTAACCTACTCTGATTTCTAACACTCGATGTAAGTGTATCTACATGTATGAAATTTTAAAGCGGATTTTCTCCTGAAAAAAAAAAACAGAATCCATATGGATTCGTGGAAACATGAAATTGAGGGTGTCATAGATCTACAGGTGGAGACAAAATTCCGTCTGAATGCAGAGGTGTTGATATCTGTTTCTGCCCGTTCAATAAGGCAAAGGGCAGAATTGTTGACGAAAACATTTTTTTTTTAAATTTCCAGTTTTGACTAGGAAAATTAACGTTTTTGTATGGTGAACAAGCTTGCCGAGCATAAACGA